CATTAGTAATAAACCATTTATGTTTTAATAGTTCCCTTGAAGACGCTCGTTGATTTGGATTTCTTTTAAAACATGAAAATAAAAAGTCTTTTAGTTGTACTGAAACAGTACTTGGGAACGGTGGATAGTCATCATTAACTATTTTATATAATGCTGCTGTTGGATTTAAATCATAATATGGTGGATTTCCTGTTATCAATTCAATAACAGTACATCCTAATGCCCATATATCTGCTTTAACTGTAGTCCCTTGCATTTGAATAACTTCAGGTGCCATCCAATTGGGTGTTCCAATTGGGTCTTCATCACTCCCTCCTTCTTGTTTTTCATTTCCATTCATTTGAACACTAACTCCAAAGTCTGCAATTTTTACACTTCCATCTTTTGCTACAAGAATATTAGCTGCTTTAATATCTCTATGTACAATACCTTGGTCATGAATAAATGCTAATCCATCTAATACTTGATGAATATATTTTGCTGATAAACTTTCATTTAAGTGATTAAATTTCTTTACAATATTTAATAATGAACCACTTTCCATATATTCCATTATAATATAAAGAAATCCATGACTTTCTGTTGATGCAATATATCTAACAATATGTTTATGTTTCAATTTTTTAAGTAATCTAATTTCTTCCATAACCTCTTTCATTACAGATTTTTTATTTACTTTCATTTGTTTAATTGCAACAAATTCTCCACTATCAGTATTCATTCCTTGAAATACTTCTCCATATGCACCTCTTCCAATTGAATTAGCAATTGAAAAAACAGACCTTTCGTTATCTGTTTTTACAACTAATTGTTTAGTAACCATTGGGTCATCCCCATCATCTTCTTCTATTTCTTCATGTTTCTTATTTTTTTTATGTTTCTTTTCTTTTTTCGGTTTTGCCTCACTTTCATCTTTCTCTTTTACTTTATTTATTTGAGTGTCTTTCTTATCTTTTGTTATTTTTCCTTCTTGGTTTGTTTCCTTTTTGTGTTCTTCAACGTTAAGTTTGTCAATTGTTATTCGCGTTGGTATTTGTGGAATAACTTCTTTTACTTCATTCTCATCCATTAACAACTGATGACCAGCTGGTAATGTAGAAACAGATGCATTAGGTATATGATTAGCTCTTGGGCTCTTGGGAGATCCAACTCCATCACTAGTTAATTGTTTTGTAACAGGAACTTTACTTTGTAATTGGTTTTCATTTGTGGTTGTTTCTTCTTTACCTGAGGAAATACAATTTTTTAGTTTACTTGATTTTTTCGGATTAAGTGCTTTTCTTTTTGGTGTGTCTGAAATCTCATCAACTTTTTTTTGTTTACCTCCAAGTTGTTTTCTTTTTGGTGGAGGTTCTGGTTCTGTTATTTCTTTTATTGTTTGGTCAGTATTTGCATGAGTTTCGATAACTTCATCTTCTTTTGTCTTTTCCCTTAATTCTTTTAGCTCCTCAACAATATCTTTTGGAAGATCAGTAATTTCTTTTGACTCATTAACATCTTCTTTTGGTAGAGAATTTTCAATTAATTCTTGTGAACTATCTTTTACTTCTTGTTTTTGAACTTCATCTTGAACTTTTTCTTCTGAAGTTTTATGTGTTTCTTTTGGTTTCTTTAATTTTTTCTTTCCTTTTAAAGGCTTTCTTGGATTTAATTGTTTTCTTTTCACATTTTTTTCGATTCCATCATAATCGTCATCAATTGGTTCATTACATTGGACATGATTAAATTCTTCATCATTCAATATATTATCATTTATTTCTTCTTTAACTATATTTTCTTGAGGTGTTGTTGTTTTTATTTCTTTTTTTTCTGATGATTTCTTCTTATCTTCTTTTGAAGTTGTTGTTAATCCTGTTGGTGGGTTTTTGTCTGTATCAATTTCATTTCCTTTTTTTGAACTTTTAATCAGTGGTATTGTTGGTTTCTGTTGTACGGAAGGCGGGATATTAATTGTTTCTTCTTGCTGTTGTTTACCTTGAACTGTGGCATTCACTCGTAATCGTCCAGTTGTTCCATTACTATTGACAACACTCATTCGTGCTTTTAGTTGTTTTTTAGTTCATTCTTAATCAAAACGTTTTATTTTCCTTTTTTTCTTTTCTAAAAAAAAACTTTTTTTAACTTTTTTTCCTTAAAATCCCGAATTTATTGAGAAGTGAATGAAAGAAATGAAAAAAAAAAATAGAAAAAAGAAAAACAAAACAATATTTTGTGTTATTTTTATTTACAACAAAAAAGAAATAATTTGAAAAAAAAATTTGAAATTTAACAATTAACAACTTTGTAAGAATGATTCTAACTTTTCTATTATTGAATCAATAGGGAGTCTTTCTTTAGGTTCTTGTGCCCAACAAAGTGTGATTAGGTTATAGATTGGTTCTGAAATATTGTCTGGTCTTTCTCTTCTTTGTCCTTTATTAATAAAATCAGCAATAGCCCATGGGAATTTGAATAACAATTTTGGATAACATTCACCCCAGTGGAATGTTTCGTACATGGTAATACCAAATGAATAAATGTCTGCTGCTTTTTTATATTTTTGTTGTTGTAAAATTTCAGGAGCCATATAAGTTGGTGTTCCTATCCCTTTTGTGAATGTCATATTCGTCATCATCATATTAATATTTCTTGATGACCCAAAGTCTGTTAATTTTCCATTTACTTTTGAGAATTCATCAATTGATAATACTAAAATATTATCGGGTTTAATATCTCGATGTAATATTCCATTTGAATGAAGATATGAAATTCCTTTTGCAGCATCAATCAATATTTTGATTTTCATAAATAAACGTATTTGTATATTTTTTTCTTTTTTCATCATATCTTGTAATGATCCATATTCTGCATATTCAGTTACCATACATATTTTATTAGGAATAAATACTGCTCCATAAAAGTGAATAATATAATCACATCTAAATTTATCTAACATAAGTATCTCTTTCTCAAATTCTGTTAATGCATCTTCATCATCTTGTATATCTTTCATTCTTTTAATAGCAACTTTATTTCCTCTAAAAATTCCAAGATAAACAATTCCAAATGTTCCTTCTCCTATTTTCTTTTCTTGAACTAATTCATCTGGATCAATCTTAGTTGTTATCTCTGTTTCAGTTTTGACTGTGACTGTTTCCATTATCTCCTTTCCTTCTTTCATATCAAATCCAATAACTGACAATTTCTCTTCTATTTTACATGTGCACAATGGCTGAATAAAAATTTCAAACTCACACGCATACCCTCCTTCAAGCGCAACCAATGGTGGTTGAACTCTTAGAAGGAATTTATCATTCTGTTCTTTAGATGTAAATTGAACTTTTATTTCGTTTTTCCCATTATTGCCAACACATATTATATCTTTTGTTTCACTTCCAACAGGTAAAAATACATTCTCACAGTCAAATGTTATGTTTCTCTTATTAATGACTAATGGAGAATTTGGACTAAGCTCTATAAATTGAATATTACTATATTTCATCTTAAAAACACAAATTGTTTCTGAATTTCTTTTTCTTAGGTTACGTTCTATTCTAATGAAAAGAATTAATGATATTATCGTGATAATAATTAACATTATAACAATACAT